CTACCTATTTTATTTATGTTAGTAATCAATTGTTACATTTTAATTCAAATCAAACATAATTATCATTTCCATTTAATAAATATAATTATTTTAATACAGCACTAGAGAGGGTAAATAGACTTCATCACAAAATGATCCTATATTAATATTATTTCTTTTAGCTTCCTTTATAACGCAAAACATTTCAGATTAATTCAAATTTAATTGTTTATTTTATTCTTCTGAATATTAATTTTTCGAAACAAAAATTAATATGAAACAATTTTAAATCAATTTTGAATTAAATTAAAATAATATTTAGATTTTCCACTAGATTATCAATAGTTTCTCTCAAGGCCCCCTTATTGATAATGATACATCTAGCCTGATCAAAACCTCTCTCTTTATTCCTTAAAGTTAATGTTTGTCCAAGTCTAGCGAATGACATTTTAATTATTGAATATTTTGTTTCTATCATATTGACTTTTTATATTATTCCGTTCTAAAAGTCTAAATTTCATAATCAATATCATCTTGAAAGTTCAAGTCCAAATTAAATTTGTTCTATACAACTTTACTATAGATAGATTGAGTAAAAGAAAATAAAGAGAGATAAAATATAATTAATCTTATTTTTTTATATATATTTTAAAGGATATAAATTTTGAGAGCAAGGATTTAAAATGAGATGTATTTGGTAATGAAAGAAGGATTTTCTACTATAGCCGATTAGAGAAATTTACTGGCTTTTCATATTATCCTTAGAAATTTTTAACTTGAAAAGATATCATAGGTTATTAGTTCTCCAAAATAGCATCATCTGATGATAGCTGCTTGGGTTAAGAAATTTCTTATTCTTCTCTTAATAATTCAACGACCTGACCCTCCAATTGCCTTTTGCAACCTTAATTAAATATTTTCCTATTCCACTTAGGTTACATCATTTTTTTCCAGAGTGAATAAATAGGGTGTATAAGAAGTGAAATTAGCTTCAAAAATCATCGATCTCATTGCACATAAATAATCTGCTCATATTTTATAGTTTTTTTTGTTTCAATTATTAACATTTCTAAGTTTACTTTATCATCTTTGCGCTCTCAATACTGATTATCTTTTGATTAATTCTGAACTTAGTTAATCTTTTTTAAATAATTCACAGCCTTAAGGATGAAAGATTTTGTATAAGGAATGGCAAAATAACAAGGTGATAAAATAACTGATGTTAGTAAAATTAGGGAAATTTTTCTATTTTCATCAAATCAACTAAAATACTTTTTCTAACCTTACAAAATGAGAGCAGATAATAACTATTTTAATGAAATTCAATTAAGGATTTAGCAAGAAGAAACTTCCTTCTAATAAATAAATCCAATTATTACTAACATAATCAACATAAAGATATAAACCAATTTAGGTTATGAATTAATTTGATTCTGAAAAAAATTTTCAAAATCAAATATTATGACATGAGCTTTTGTAGATTTTTTCACTAAACTGCATCAGATAAAATTATGAATTGTTAAACTTTGAAAACTCTTTTTATAATGATGAAATATGTATTTAACAAGAGACAATTAATGTAAAAGTAAAAATGCTTTCTTGTGGCTCAATAAATTAGATTATTATCTCTATTCAGTTTTTGTTATATTATGTTATTGATTCTTTTTAAGGGTTTAAGTTAATTGGCTTAGTCCTTGAAAATATTTACTAAAAATCAAAATAACTGATTTTTCATCATCATGTTCGATACCATAACATGTTGGCAAGAGAACCTATAATACTACCATTATTAAATAAAGGCATCCTTGACAGGTTAGATAAAACAGATTAAATCATTATTAGTCAGGAAATCTTAGTAAATAACTTCTGATAAGTTCTTAAATTCGTAATTGCAAAGCAGACTATTTAATATTAACGTTGCTTTTTTTCCATTATTAGGCTGGGGATATTGAATTGCAGCTCTTGCATAGAAAATTATCTATCTATGATTACCTTAAAGAACTCTGATTGTTATTATATATGTAGCCTCCTTTTCGTTTGAATTTTTATTTGTTGCTCCTTATTAATTTCTGATTTAATCTTAGAGTTCTACTATTAAGATTTCATATTTAAATTAATATTTATTCTTATTTTAGTAATTTTAATTTCTAAGTTAAAGGCTAACAAAATTGTAATTGATTCTAGAGTGAAGTTTGTTGGAATGGAGATTACGTTGAGTTTATGCTTCATTTACTACAATCTTTATTCATCTACAGTATTCGACATAGTTTGCAGTAATAATAGCAATACACATGATTTTCGACTTCCTAAATTTTTTTCCTCATTTTCTTTTTAGGTTTCAAATTTATGAGAATAAAATACCTTCTCGATTTTTAAATTAATTGGCATGAACAAAATGATTTTATTAATTATA